ATGGCCGGCAAGCCACTCCCACAAAGCAGGCCACACCTATAGAAGAGGTTCTAAAAAAAATTGAAACCCATCACTGCGGCAGCCCCTTAGATATTGGAAGTCTGTTACCATGTCATCCTTAGTCCTTTTCTTCATCAGACTAGACCAGTGTTGGAGAACCTTTTCGGCACCAAGTGCCAAAACAAGAGTGTGTGTGTGCATGTGCGCGTGCACGGGGGGGGGGAGCTGGAAACCGGAAGAGCAGATCCCTGGTGTGCATGTGCGGGAACATTGGAAACTGGAAGAACAGTTCCATGGCGTGCATGTGCACCAGGGAGCTCCATAATCTCCATAGTCACATCATCCAAATTCAAACACTTGGCAACTGACTCATATTTATGACGGTTGTAGTGTTCCTGTGTCATGTGGTTACCTTTTGTGACCTTCTGACAAGCAAAGTCAATGGGGAAACCAGTTTCACTTAACAACAATGTTACTAATTTAACAACTGTAGTTTTTCACTTAACAACTATGGTAAGAAAGGTCATAAAATGGGACAAAGCTCACCTCACACCTATCTTGTTTAGCAAAAGAAATTTGGGGCTCAGTTTTGGTCATAAGTTGAGGACTACTACCTGTATCCAGTTCCTGCAATCCTGTGAATTCTAGTCCCATCTTAGATGTGAATACAGGGGGACGGGAGGTGACCTTGGGCCAGTCTCTCTCTCTCAGCCTTTAGAAAGAGGCAGTGGGAAATCACTTCTGAAATCTTAGCAAGGTAACTGCAAGGACTTGTCTACCCAATTACCAGGATTCAAGATTGATGAAGAGTAGAATCTATTTCAAATAACTAGGCCTTGGATTCCCTCTGGCTGCTTAAAGGGAGCAATACAACTTATTCCCTCCAACATATATCTGTCTATCAATCTGCCTTGGAAGCACTCAGAATTTCACTGTAAAAACAATCACTTCTGAGCTTCTGAGTTACTTTTATTCTTCAAGGCGAGATCTTTGGGCAACACAATACATATATCTCCCAATTACCTATGATGATTTTAACTCAATAGTCATCAAGATTAATAATACTGCCTAGGTCCATGATGGCAAACCTATGGCACATGTGGAGCCATATCTGCTGGCATGTAAGCGGTCACTCCAGCACCCATGTGCATGCTGGCCAGCTGATTTTCGGCCTTCCGGAGGGCTGGGGGAGGCAGCTTTTACCCTCTCCAGACTTCAGGAAAGCCTCCGGAGCCTGGGGAGAGCAAAAAACAGGCCCAGAAAGGATCTGTTTCCGGCTTCCGGAGAGCCTCCAGAGGGCTGAGGGAGGAAGTTTTTGCCCTCCCCAGGCTTCAGGAAAGTCTCCGGAGGCTCGGGAGGGCAAAAAATGGGCCCAATTTGCACAGGTGGGAGGGACACATTGTATTGTGGGTGTGGGGCACATGCGCACTATCATGCACGCATGCACAATTTTGGCACGCATTTACAAAAAGGTTCCCCATCCCTAGCAAAGTTATTGATAGATTAAATCCACAAAGAGATTCCTGCCCAAATAATTTAAAAACTAAAATCCAATCCAAAAGAAAATAGAAGGGATAGTAAATAAGAAAATAATAAACTATTTAAAACTCTGAAGGTTTTTTTTCATGGAAGTAGTCTAATAAAACACTGCTCCCATTATATATCATTTGAAGTTTCTCAATAAATTATTTATTTCTCCCCAGAACCCAAGCTAATCTCTACATACAAAATGGCTTTTCAGTGACAGCTCCAAAGCCTGAATGATGCCTATTTCAATTTTCAGGTCTTAAAGTAAAGCTTGCTGGTTCCCCGCCCCCCTTGGTTTATTTAAAAACAGTTTTAAACTGCTTCTCACCCATTGTGGTGATATTTTCTTTCAACTTTGGTTTTCAATGGATTCCTTGTCATTTTAATATTCTTTTCTTAATTATTTTTCATTAGCCTTTTAGAGTGCTTCTTAGAACACAACCTATTACTGGTTTGACAAGTGATAAAAGAAGATCTTGGAATAATATCAGTGTTTTTAAATCTCGGCAACTTTAAGATATCTGGACTTCAACTCCCCATATTCCCCAGCTAGTCTATACTGTGGCCATGAAAACACAGCTAAATCCAGGTAGTCACAAGGACTCAATCTGACTCAAAAAAGATTTTGACTTTTATATAATATGAAATTGGATTTAATGACCTACTGGTCTTTTTAAACTCTATGTTCAGTGGTGGGTTTCAAAAAAATTTAGAACCTCTTCTGTAGGTGTGGCCTGCTTTGTGGGAGTGACTTGCCAGCCATGTGACTGGGTGGGAGTGGCTTGCCAGCCATGTGACCAAGTGGGAGTGGCTTGGCAGTCATGTGGCTGGGTGGCATGGCCAACTTGTAAAATGTGGTGAAACTCACTTAACAACGCTCTTGCTTAGCAACCAAAATGTTGGCTCAGAAACTCTGGCATTGAAGTGTGCAAGTCTTAAAGCTGTCAAGTTACAAGACCCCTGCACCCCTAACCCTTTAGGAAAAAAACCCAGAGGTGTTCAAACTTGACAGCTGTAAGACCTGTGGACTTCAACTCCCAGAATTCCTCCTCCAGTCATGCTGACTCAGGAATTCTGGCATTGAAGTGTGCAAGTCTTAAAGCTGTCAAGTTACAAGACCCCTGCACCCCTAACCCTTTAGGAAAAAAACCCAGAGGTGTTCAAACTTGACAGCTGTAAGACCTGTGGACTTCAACTCCCAGAATTCCTCCTCTCGCTCTTCACCTTCATGATGTGCAGACGGGCGGGGGGAGGGAGCTGGAACCGGTTCTAAACGGCACTGTAGATTTGTGGAATCTCTTCTATAGAAGAGGTTAGAACTGGCAGGAACCCACTCATGTCTATGTTCATGATAAAAGCCTCCAATTAAATGTAACAATGATGTTTATATATATTACAGACATATATTCATGAATTATGTGCTGCTTTAGTTACCTATGAATAAGAATGGATTTCAATAGGTAATTGGTACCATTAAAGGAAAAAGGCACAGGTGGGCATTCATGATGAAAATAGTTGTAGAAGAAAATTATCCTAGTTTCAATTTTTTTGAATTTATAATGGCATATTATACAATTCAAATACTTTTTTCAATAATATGTATGGAAATGTTTTAAATGTTTATCTCCTAGTAGCCTCCAACTTTGCAACTAGAGATGCACTGCTTAACCCAATAAAATCTGGATCAGAAATGTTATTATTACAAAAAAAATGAGTTACCATATTTGGGCTGAAAATGTCAACCTCTAGATGGCAGCAAAGATATACACTGGCCTCTTTTCTGCCATCTGATGGCCATCTAGATGTGTGCAGCCTAGATCTTGTACCAATAGTTAAAGGCCAAGTGTAGCTCATTTTATATTTGTTGCTTCTTCAATCTCTACCCAATACATAGGGAGACTAGTAGCCTTACCTTACACCACAGTCCATAATACCATTGTTGCCTTGCAGACCTACTGGACCTCAAGATCTAAAATACCCAAAAGAATGTCCAAAATCCATACTGACTTAGGGAATTTTGGGGCTTAATCCAACAGTTCTGGAAGGCATTAGGAGAGGAATGCTGATTTATGTCTTCAGAGTAACTGAAGCTGCCTTTGAACTAGCTAATCCTTGAAGTTGCATAAGGGATTCGAGCTAATGAGATTTGTCTCTGTTGATAAGAATGTGACACATAATTCTTTAGCTACATAAAGGAAAACTGTAAATGAGACATAATTCTTTTTTTTTTGTCCCCAGAATTCACCATCAAGAGTTTTTGCAGCTTTGTAGACATCATGAATTTTTCAAAGCTACAAGTCTTGAGACTGGATGGGAATGAGATCCGTCGCAATCATATGCCCTCAGATGCCCCACTATGCCTGCGGTGGGCCAATGTCATAGACATTTAGCTACCACACTTGCTTCTTTCCTTAAACCATCTCCATCATAGGAACAAGGCCAAATACTTCCTGCAATCCTACAGCACATTGAGGAGTCTTCCTCATTTTTTTTACTGCTTCATTTGACTGAGCTTCTGCAGTGGTATAATGTAGGAAGAATTGGTAACCTGGACGCAGAGGTGTTGTTTATAATAGTCAATTCAGTAACAACACATAGGCCAACCAAATCTTTGCTTACCTCTTTCCCACTTTCTCTCTACCATGCTCTCCATTTTTCAGCAATCACTTACCCAGTTTTCATGACATGCTGTTGGGTGGTGCTCACTCTCTTTAATGAGCAGTACAGAAGTATTATTCTTTAGAAGTGTTTCATGTGTGTAGCATTAGAAAGCCAATGCCAGCTAGGATACCTCTGGGATTTAGTTTTCCATGTAGGGGGACTGCAATGAAAAAGTACTGTAGCGTGTGTGTAGTGGCGGTGGACAAGACTACATCCAAACAAATTGAAAACAGATTAAAGGGTTGGCCACCCAGCAAGGAACAATTAGAAAGATTAGTTCAGGAAACAGAAAAAAGCAATGGAGAAAACAGTAACAAGTTAGTTGACAGCATAACTCTCCAAGTATTAGTTGCCAACCAAGTAGCATCATTTTGTTTATTCTTCTTTCTTGTCCATTAGTTTTAACATACACAATACAACAACACATTACCAGGAAGGAATCAAAACTCCAACAAGCTTAGCAGCACATAAGAATTGCATATTGAGCTAATCATGATGCTATACATCAAATGTCACCATTATGTTTCCAAAGCCCAATAGAGGCTTGCTATTTATAATAGTCATAATTCAGCCCCTTGAAAGACCCAAATATAGTTTTGCACTTAAATAGTTTCAGCAAGACCCTTTCTCCCCACCTTTTTTTCCATTTTTGCTTTGTTCTAATGCACTCCTATTTAATCTCCTAATGTTCTGCAATCAGTGCTGTTGTGGCAGAAGGACTTTAAGTAATATTTCCGCCTCTGATTTGGAGACCATTGCACTTTGAGAGATTAAAAGGAGTAACAGAGCCTTCAACCCTAACATTTTCTCACAGTTTGAAGGCAGCCTTACATGAATAGGAAAGCTTCATTCATATCACATCCTGGAGGGGTGGGAAAAAAGAGTATCCTTTTCATTTTCAGGAAAAAAGAACATTTTACTATGTAAACTTCTGATGGCATCGAGCCCCATTTGTGGCTTCCTACACACTGCATATTATTAACTTTTTCCAGCCACCAGGTTTCTCCCCACCTCCTCTTTCTTCTGTTATAGCGCAATGCAATGCATTACTCAATGCTTTCACCATGCATATTTCATATTCCTTTCCATGTGCTGCTTGTGTGCATATAAACAATGCTACTGTTTGAAGGCATGCTTCTAGATAGTAATAAAATGCAACGAGAACCATAAGCATTAAAACGGTTGGTAAGACTCAGTATCATTCAAGCAAGGTATTTAGTCAGCATATAATAAAGAACTGAGAGTTTTAGGCTTGTACTACTCTGTATGTTCCCATTTCAACACAATAATCCAATAAAAGGTGCATCCTAAATCCTTGTTATAATAGCATTGCTTTCTTGGCTCCTGTAAGTCTAATTACATTTGCTGTAATTTTTTTGCTTGACTGTAGAACTGCCTGTGTTAAATTTCATGCATGTCGTAGTACCAGCCAGTGCCATAAGAATCTATGGTGCTTTTGGCTATCATCCACTGAGTTATTTCATTTCCATAAAATTCATGGAGGGAAAAACAAGAACAAGGAAGAAGTAGGTCTTGGAAGATTCTGAGATGCTCAAAATATCGTCAAAACCTTTTTGTATATGTAAAATGCATGCTGATAATATTTTTTAAATGTAGATGCATGAACTGTAGATACCATTATTGTTCAATAAAATCCTTTTTATAATTGCATGGAATAACTTGAAAACTACCAATTGTTGAGAGGAAGTCTGAAACATCTGGTGTTAATGAGTAATTATCAGGAATTAAATCCACCATGGAAACATTTAATGCTGCACTTTGAAAGGAAGGTGTCTGCATCGCTATTTAAGGGATCGGATATATTGATTTAGTGAATGGATTCAGCAAATTAAACCAAGGTTTTATAAGCCATGATTTGCTAGGTTCACATATTATAAGTGTATAAAATGTCTACGTTCATACAATATGTTAAGACACAAACAGACAGAAACACAAAAACTCTATTATGTTTGGTTCAGAGATAAGCAACTTTTCTAAGCAGACACCATCATCACACAATTTTGCATGGTACTTGCAAGCACCAAATGATATAAAAGAAAAATAGGAGCTGGAATGTTCTGAGACCTTATATGAGAACACAGGTACTATTGTGATTATTGGGAGATTTGGGGAATGTTAATTTTTCTCCATGTTTTGGTATGCAGTGGACTCTCCATTCAGGTATAATAGATCCCAAAAATGCTTCAGTTCTAATCTGATATATTTGCTTAGCAATTTCATTCTTTCCAGCCAGTTGGGAATTAATGATCATGAAGCCTAAGTAAGAGAAACGTTCTCATTTGTAGAAAAGGCTTCCATCAGTAATATGTTCTGGGGAAAACACTGGTTCTCCTTCTCATGCCTTAGCATTAATATTTGACTGCCAAACTGGATGGTTCAAGGCAGATAGATCTTATAGGGGATCAGTGTAACCATTATAAAACTGGTTCAAAAAACCAGTCTTTCCCTTGAAATGTCACTTCCATTGGATTTCCAGGTAAGACTGTCAGATATGTGCTGCAAAAATTTGAACCTTTATTAGATGGCAGCAATGAGCTAAAATGCTCAGTATTTCTTCCATCTAGTGTTTGTTTGTTTGTTTGTTTTTGTTTTTTTTTAGTTTCTGCAACCCAAATCTGGTAGACCAGTGTTTTTCAATCTTGCCAACTAAAATGTTGGCTAAGGGATTCTGGGAGTTGAAGTTTGCAGATCTTAAAGTTGGCGATGACCAGAAATGCTGTGGTACAGTAGACCCTGCATATGAAATTGTTCAGCAGCAGAAACCGTGATAGAAACAGTGATCTAACTTTGCCCTCTGGTGGCTAAACTATGGAATTTCTTACAACATACACCTTTTCTTCCACCAAATAATGTTTCACCTTTAAATGCTAACGTTTCACCATAATTGCAAACAAGCGCAGCACCTTTTAGATGATACGTGTGCTGTGTTGATTACAATACTGTATTGCCAAAGATGAATATTTGCTGGGAGGAACTATCTTATCTACACTGCAGTAAGAGTTACAGTGTACATGAAATTTGCACAAAGAGCAAGACGATTGCTGGCTTCTAGTTACGATGGTGGTATGTTTTTCTACCCGTAGCAGAATTAAAAATTGAGAGTGAAATTACAGATAATTTACAATAGTTACAATAGTAACTATTACAATACAATACAATACAATACAATGAACTATTACAATAGTTCATTTTGGTGAATGTTCGAAGTTACAATGACACTGAAAAAAATAACTTATGACCAGTTTTCACACTTATAACTCTTGCAGCATCTCCATGGTCACTCAATCAAAATTCAGGTGCTTGGCAACTGGTATGTATTTATGATGGTGTCTCAGGCTCATTTAATCACCTTTTGTGACCTTTTGACAAGCCAAGTGAATAGGAAGCAGATTCACTTAACAACTATGTTACTACCTTTTAAAATTGCAGTGATTTGCTTAACAACTGTGGTAAGAAAGGGCATAAAATGGGGCAAAACTCATTTAACAAACAAAAGCATCAGAAATTTTGGACTTACCTGTGATCGTTAGTCAGGGACTACCTGTACTATTTTGTTGTTGGATGGGGGGAAGTTTGCAGATTTTCCATTGATTTCAATTTCCTATTGCAGGAGTAAAATTCTGGAACAGATGGCCTGTATTTTGATCCAGCCCAGCTCTTCTGAGATCCAAAAGCAAAGGGCAGGGGCATCAAAATCTCATGTTCAGCATAATTTATTTTCATGTCCCCTAGATAATCTAGCACACATTAATTCTATTCATGTAGGCACGGGTGTCAAACGCACAGCGTCACGTTTCCATCACATGACGTATCGCGACTTTTTCCCTTTTGCAGAGCTGGGGTGGGCATGGCCTGTGTGTGATGCATCCAGCTCGCGGACCACCAGTTTGACACCCCTGATGTAGGGTCTTTCACTGCAGTCCCAGAAGGCCATGATTCTGCTCCTTTTCTGGTACAGACATTATTCATTGATAAGGTTTCGTACAGCACTGATTGGTGGGCAGGTGCTGTCCGACAAAACATGTCTGGATGAAGGAGAGATTGTGAGAAAGTCCACTTGTACTCTGAGCAGCTGCTTCTCATGAGTAAACTACAGGAATAGAAGGTTTTATGGTTGACTCATATATCAAACAGCGGGGAGTCACAGAATCCCATCTAAGCCCACAACCATAATGAAGCCTATATGCACAATAAGTTCAGCCAACTTAATTTTTTTAATTCTTAATTTCTTAACCATGTTTCATTTCATCAGTCTATAGATAAACAGATTTTCTTTGTGGCAAGACGCTATTCCTCTAAGTGAGTGCAACTTTTTTTTTCTGGATTACAATAAACAAAAGACTTTGAAGATTTAAAGACTCAAAAACTTTTGACAAAAAAACCCAAAGAGATGATTTAACAAAGTTTAAGGTGGATAAAAAAAAACAGTTATATTTTTATTTGTACTATTTTTACTTTTGGTGACAGTGCTTTTAAATAAACTTGAATTAAGCTAGACAAATAGACCAGACCTTTCTGGAAATGCTTTCTGTTTATTACTAAAGAGTGCAAGTGATTGGCAGATTTAATATAACAAAAGATAAAGATAATATCAGCCAGACTCTGATGCTTTGTTGCTATGGGTATGTGGATTGTGATGTGGATTGAAAGACACAGAAAGAGAAAAGTGAGAAAAAAAATCATGAGACCTTGTTTTTATACATGATCA